TTCATCACGTCTGTGTTCGTAAATGTGCAGAGCATAATCTTGGTTTAGATTAGATAACTGGGACTTGTATTTCAACTTGTCGTACTCCTAATGAATTTTAAAATATTCCCGTATTGTGTCCTCGTAAGATATGTACAATTCTGTAGAGCGATATAATTTCTCTGTTATATAGATGCATTCAGTGGATTCCAAGAATTGCAAGCGGTTTCTAATGGATGCGAAAGCGAAGTATTTAATGATGTGGTCATATGCTTCTGAGAAGTCAGGAATCTGCTATACAGTTTCTTATTAAAGAGGTAAGAAATTTCTTGGAGTTGTTTGATGACCTATTGCATCATTGATTCCCATACTGGAACAAAAACCAAACTGTGTCCTGAGAAGTTGACTGTCCTAAAACGATGTAAGCCTAGTTAAGAGAATGTTCATTAATGCTTTCACTGTGATCGACACAACTGAGGTACCTCTGTATGTGTGAGGGTCTTCAAGTTTACCCTTCTCTTTCCATAGTGAATTACTGTATTGTAAACTCCACTGGAGAAATATTTTATTTAATTCAGGGAGAAAGTAAGCTATTTTCAAAGTTCTGCATTAATTTCTAATGATGCTTTATTATTCCCTAATTTTCTTAATAGCTTTCTTAATTTCCTCATCTGGATCTTCCTTATTGTTTATGCAGGTGGACTTGGCTTTGGTTGGATGTATATCACAGTTTTTCTTGAAAAAGCAAGAAGTTCACAATAACAGGCGTAGATTACATAGACAACTTTGCATTCTTGTCAGACAGATTGCACGGTTACCGAACTTCTCCATCTCATTGAAGAAAATGACATCGAGACTGTATTCTATATTAATGCTGGCAAAACAGAATTTATCATCTAAACCAATTAGGGGAAATTAAGTTAAAAACGCCAATGATATCAAATCAGTTCAGGAATGTATTTGCCTCGCCAGCAACATCCAGTCAACAGAGAGAGAAATCAAAATACCCAAAAGCTACGCCTGGGGGTGCCCTTGATGGTTTCAGCACCATCTGGAATTCCACCCACTCTGAGAATCTTAAGACGAACTTCTTTAACGCCACGGTAGAATCTGTGTTGCTCTAAAGCTCAACAACATGGACACTGACGAATCACCAAAAGCATTACTTGACGAATCATACAAAATCTAATACCCGTATGATGTAAATAAGCAAAAGAAAAAAAGAAAACAAAACAATAAAAGGAACTCAATTTTCATAATAATAGGTTAAAAACAACAAATTTGAAAGGTGAATTATTCAAAATTCCTAGGAAAAGACAAAATTATTTCTACAGCCGATGACACAAGTATTTTCTTCTGCCTTAATGGCCGCTCTAAAAGGTTCGATAAAAATCAAATTGGCAGCTGATATCGAAAATGACATACATTTTTTTTTTTAATGAGGCAGGAAATAGGTTGTCTATTTTAACGCCACAAAAACAAAACTGTTTCCCATTAATCATCTTTGATAATGTTTTTTTTATTTTCCTTCATCTTGGTAGATTGTAACCTTCATGTGAGTAACTCGCTGCTCCTTTTCGGTCTAACATTTTCCAGTGATGTCATTTGGAACTATTATATCAAATCAATTGCTAAAACCACTGCTAACAAATTTGCATTAAGATTTTGTGCAAGAAAAAATGCTCATCACTCGGATCTATCTTGCATATTTATTAGTCTATCATTCATGCATGCATTGAATATCTTTGCAATATATGATTTTCTAATATGTAGTTAGAGATTGTTGACAAAATCCAAAGAATAATATGTAATATTATTGATTCTGTCGTCTTTAGTCATTTTCCCATCGACTTAATGTAGATTCCTTGTACCGTTTTATTTCCATGCTAATTGTTCTGATGATCTTACCGTTTTGGAAATTCGATTTCACGAATTTAACCGCAACGATAGATTGGCAGCAAGAACTCTTCATTATTCTGTTGAATTTGATAAGTGTAAGCGTGCGCTTTATTCTGACGCTTTCATCTTCCTCACTTCTCGGGTGTGAAACTATATTAAGGCTTCTCGCTTTCCTGCCTACTGTGATTTTCAAAAATTAATTGTCACTTCAATCGTCATCTTCTGTCTCCTTGAAGTCTATTCTTTTGATTGTCCTTTCCCCCTTAGTAACGTTTTTGCTTGTTTCTTTGTTTGTTTGTTTTGTTTTACGGTATATCAACCTCAATGGGTTATTTAATGCAGACAAGATTTGCTGATAATATTTTTGTCCAAAAATGTATTGCTGGTCATATTTTTCCAAGAATGTATTCCTGGTAATATTTTTTCCCAATTTACTGGTAATAATTTTATTCAATAATGTATTGATGGTATTTTTCAAAAGTGTATTTCTTGTAATAATTTTTCCAGAAAGTTATTGCTGGTACTAAAACATATTTTTACATTTTCATAGTGTTTTGGCACCAGTTAAGGGGCTAACTATTTGCTCATAGCTTGAACCATAACAGGTGCTACCACCCCGGGTCTGTGTGAACCTGGGAGCGTTAGCACTTAAGAGGTGGTACCACGCTCCTCAAAACACCCTGATCAGAGTCCTTGCTCTCGGATGTAGTTGCTCGTGATATCCGGGACGCTGGTTTAGTTTCTCATCATACCCAGGACGAGTAATATTTTCTCAGTTACTTTCAGTCACAGTAAACCTTTTCATCTTAGTGGTTTTTTTAAGCTAGTGTGGTGTGAAGTTACTCAAAAACATATTAGGGAAGCTGAATATTTTCATATCTTAGTATCTATTCTAGGCACAAATAATATCGGACAGAGATGATCCACTTAACTAATCTATTGAAAAGGATATAATAATTACATTTACTCATGAAGCTGCGTCGAAATCCATTTTAGAGCTGCGAAAATTGCATTTATTTTCCAATGTCTTGCATAAATCTACATTATTCGTTTTCTGTATATACTAACGTAATTAGTAGATTGATTATATGGATCATAATACGAATTATTTCGACTTGATCTTTGAAAACCTTGAACAAATTAATTGAAACAAAACAAACAATTACGATATTATTTATTTTTATTCGTATTTTTCCTGTGAAATATAACCCAGTGCACGTGTTAGTACTTCATAGGTGCATTTCAAGAAATCGTTTCTTACAGATTGATCACAGATTAACGATTGGATTTAAATCAGGAGATTTTCCGGTTCAGTCATTATACTTTGATTTGCTAACTGTGTTCGTGCAGCGTTACAATTTTCTGACGCTTACTTGGAGTAAAATCCAATAGGACAACAAATCGACAGTCGAAGCAATAGTGTCTGCTTGTAATAAAAATTTGATGCAATTGCGGATGATGCAATATTTTTCAAGGCCAAACAAATTTCATCATACATCCCGGAAATAGATTCATATTACTGCACACTACTTCAAATGACCTAATCTGAGAAAATTAAATTGAAATCGATTACATTCCAGTGGGTCTGATACTCACAGTATGCTGAAAAAAGGGAAACAAAAGCAGTAGTTTCAATTAATTTGCACAAGGTTGTAGGTAGAATTATGAGGCTTGATCTAAATATATGTTCCTGTATTCCGCCGCTATCAGATATTTTGTTTATAATTTCAGTGCGAGAAGAAGGGACTAAGCATGAACTACAAGAAAACATCATGCATTGTCATCAGTAAAAAGAATGAGAAAAAATCAAGCAAGTGCAAATGTTTAAATGAAAGTGTAATATAGAAGTGTTTTGACAGAGGACGGCAAGGGCGACATTGAGATCCGTAGATGTATTCGGATGGACGCATTACAAAAGCTGGACTGTGTATTGCGTGATAAGGATGATCTCTTTCGTAATAAAGAAAAGATTACTGAACTGTTACGTGACATGTGTCCTCCTTTTACGGCAGCAAATGCTGGACGGTCTCCTCAAAGATGAATACGAGACTCAGGGCAACAGAAGGATGCTGAAGATATCATTGACCGAGCGTGTGAGCAACGATGCATTTTGGAGAGGATGCAGACAAGGAGAAAGCTTATACTTAACATTAAGCAAAGGCAGTTGAAATTTCTGGGACACGTAATGAGGAAGGATGGCTTTGAGAATTTGATACTCACAGGTTGAATAGAGGGAAAGAGAGACAAGGAAAAGTAATGCATGACACACCTGGTGGGCTTAAGGATGTTGATGACAGACCGTGAATTGGGGGAGGTGGCAGAGGGACGAATTGGGATTTACAGTGGATAGGCGAAGTAGAGAGCCATGATCGCCTACGTCTTGAAAGGACACGGCACATAAGTAGAAAAGAATTTTACCAAATTTCAAATTGTCTTATACTGTAAATATCTCCGTGACGATCTCATCTTGTGCTTTTATTTTGTTCGTTTTTTTTTATTTTCCTCGTGTTAGATTTTATTATTGCTTTTTTATATTTTGTATATTGCTTGCGAATTGGAGATACCAACATCAAGTAAGACCAAAATATATTTAAAATCATGGAAGAGATTTGACATAGCACGGAAAATGCGACACCGATATCCGAATATCCATTAGGGTGATATCTAAAAGCTATGCCAAATAGTAAAAAAAAGAACATTTCTTTGGAAATAAATAATAGTGTGACATCTACTGTTATGGAGTATCAGTCTTTCTATATGGCGGTCAATGTTGGGCAATATCATCACAGAGGAAGAAGAGAGATTTGATGTAAGATAAAAGAAGGTTCTTCAGTGAGCAATGGCGAAGCTTTAGTGAAAATGGTAACAAAATAGAAACTTATACGTAAAATCAGAATGAGGCATATGAAATGTCTAGGGCACTAAATGAGGAAACGGGGCTTAGAAATTTTGATACCAACATAAAATATTGAAGGTAAGAGGTACAAAGCATATAACCCAACTAACGTGCACTTGGGAATGGTAAGCAGAGCATGGTAAGCATGGTAAGCATGAGTGATAACAAAAAGATAAACTTCATTATGAGCTATAAAAGACAGGAAACAGTGGAGAGTCATGATCACTCACTTCCTGAAGGGACAAAGTATATAGAAGAAGAAGAAAAGAAGAAGAAGAAGAAAAGAAAAAAGAGGAAGAAAATAAAGTGTAATAGAAGCAAAAGACAAAGAAGAAACCGAAGAGAAAGAAGAAAAAAGAAAAGAAGAAAAAGAAGAAACGGAAGAAGAAAAAGAAAAAGAAATAGAAAAATAACTAAAAGATAAAGAAAAAGAAGAAAAAGAAGAAAGAGGAAAAGAATAAAGAAGAAAAGAAGAAAAGAAAAAGAAGGAAAAAGATGAAGGGGAAGAAAAGAAGAAGAAAAGAAATAGAAAAAAGAAGTAAAAGATAAAGAAAAAAAGAAAAAGGAAAAGAAGAAACAGAAGAAGAAGAAATAGAAAAAGAAGTAAAAGATAAAGAAAAGGAAGAAAAAGTAAAAGGAGAAGAAGAAAAGAAAAAGAAGAAAAGAGTAAGAAAAGAAAAAGAAAAAAGTATAAGATAAAGAAGAAACAGAAGAAAAGAAGAAAAGAAAAAAAATAGAAAAAGAAGTAAAAGATAAAGAGGAAGAAACAGAAGAAAAAAGAAGAGGAAATAGAAAAAGATAAAGAAGAAGAAAAGAAGGAAAAGGAAAAGAAGAAGAAAAGAAGAAGAAAAAAGCAAAAAAATAGAAAAAGAAGTAAAAGATGAAGAAGAAAAAGAAGAAAAAGGAGAAGAAAAGAAGACCTATATAAAATATTCCTTCAACCTCTTTTTTTTATCCATTATAATTTACACCAATTCATTTTGTATATAACACTAAAAACGTCATCTATAAAAATCTTCTTTATTTTCTATTTTGTTACACAGGATCCAGAATGATAATTGGAAGTATTATCATTTCCATAATTTTCATTTTCTCATCTCATAAAATATTTCAAAATTTCGCATTAGTGCAGTGTCCTAACATTCTATGCCCCGATTATGATTTTATCTTTCTTGCTCACAGTGGCTGAGTAACGGCCAGGCGACATCTGTCACTCGTGTCTCTCCTTGTCAGTTCCGTGTCAGATGTCCTCGTTAACGCCTTTATCTGATATTTCTGAGTTGTGAATTTATATGATTGCTCTTGGGAAAGACATTGAATTTCTTCCCCTTTCATGGATATTTCATAGAGACACGAATTACAGTAAGTGGATTGAATTAGGTCGATAAACTTTAATAAATATTAAAATATTTTGACATTTAATATTTTTTATTGCGTTCGAGTCTATGAGTAAACTTCGATTCTGTATATACTTGATTCAGTCGATAAAAATGAGGTCTTTTGTTGTGGTACGATCCACCTAATTTACATAGTGGAGTACCGACCATATAAATATGGTTGGTATCGGGAAGACGAGGTGAGGAAGAAGAGATCCAATCCAGAGACTCTGACCGACTGCGACTAATGTCAGCCCATTCTACAGGAACGGTCTTCCCAAGAATATACCAAACTATCTGTAAATATTGTGTACACGTTCTTGTGTCAATACATTTTGTTTAAGTACATTTTGTGTTGTATTATTATTATTCCATGCTTTATTCAAGTTTCAACATCTTCCAGGTGTTAGAGAGTTACCCCTTAAGGTAAGAGATTTCTAACTTACTTCTCGCTTTATTTACTTCATTTTATCTTTCTATTCTTCATCCAATAGGCACTCATGTTAGAGGATTAAGGAATGATGTTGCCGTGTGTACGTAAAGGTTCAACAGAGACTTGTAGTGGTTTATATTACGGTGATCGTAGAAGTAGAAAAAGCTATCCGAATGGAACTTTCTTCTAACAATGGTATAGGAAGAGAATGAGGATGATTCGTTTCTGTTTATATAGTAGGCACGGTGAAGTAATGGACTGCAGCTCGTATTGTGCAATTCAATTATATGCTAGTACACTTGATAAAGATATGAATCTATCTGGTCTCTCCAAGCTATGGATAAATATCAGCACTAACTGGGTTCTATAGACTTGTGTGGCAACCGGTTTAGAAGAATGATAACTCTTCCTTCAAAACTGTATGTAGCAATGAAAAAGAACTTAACACTTTCACTGCTACTCATTTGTCCAGTGCTGCCCGCATCCGGCCAGCCATTTTTAAAAGAAAATGCCAAATTTCAACCTACATATTTTATTACACAGAAAACTGGCCCCAGTGTGTTTTACAGCCTTCCATTTTCATGGATATACCTGGGACTGACTTACCAGATTAGTAATGGGTATACACATGATATCTTTTGAAGCATTGTCCTTTGTGATTTGACGATAGATGGCGCTACGGGACACTCATACCAGCGGTATGCAAAAAAAACGTAGGTTTCCGTACTGGAGCAAGATAAGAAAAAAGTAGATCTCCATAGTTAGCAGCGGAAGTGTTAATATGCAGCTAAGAAAAGGAACGTTCGCGTTGCCTTGATGATCCAAACTACGGTCGATGCCTTTGCAGAATATAACTGTAAATTTTTGAACTGGTTTACAACGTCGGAAAATTTTCTATGGAAATGGAGAAAGAAAAGCGAGTGGTATGTTTTTGCAAAACTGTTTTGCTTGGTGAAAAATAAATAATTGCCTATATTGTGACACTGTCAAAAAGGGAAAATGTGGATAGGACAACTAAAATGCTGATAAAGCAGGAATATTCCAATGCAAAGAGAAGAAAAATCGCAAGAGCTTGAATGAGAAAGCTGGTTTACTGGCCGTTAATTTCTGTGTTTCATTGTCGAAAACCGAGCTCAGATATTTGCTTAAGTATCGTTGTTCATTGTATTGCCTTCATTTATTTTCTTTTTGTATTTCTAACGTTCGTCCATAGATTTGATTTGGTTGCATGATATATTTAAAAATAGAAACCGGAAATGCATGTTCAATTTAACGTCCCTTAATTAATCTAATCTAATTCCAGCGGCTGTTACCCTCAACCAGTTCGTCTCTTATGCCTGGAACCGTAAGAGTGCAATGTAACGTAGAGTGGATGAATTTTGGTTTCAGTATGATAGTATCAGTGAAGCTACCATTTTAGATCCAGCCTTTCCCGTTTGAATGCGCGTATGTAAAAATATCTTAAATTCAACTCATAATTACGGAAATGAAGTGAAAAACTGACATTTTTCAGGCTCACAAGCAAAGAAACATTACTCATTTCTATACATTTCAATGAAGTAATCGAAAGAAATATTAAGTATATATTTATTTATGCCATATATACATTTAGTATAGTGTTTACGTTATTATGGCGACTGGTAGTTACTATAAGGGTTTTATAACCCAAAAATAATTCCTTTCCATCTACAGACAATCGGCGTTAACGGACCACTACTTATTAGTCCGTTGGTGAGAGGTTTTTCGGTACTTCTTTGTTTATTATGTGCTTTGTGACTCGCACAGGGTTATTAGATAGAAGTAAGTTAAAAAAAAAGTTTATAATTCAGTCAATAATATAGTAGGAGATTTCGTTTAAATACAGAAGTATATAATTACCGATCAATGATATTGCCTTTAAAGTTTTATGCCTGCTGTATCATGTATGAAAAAATGTATGTTAATGTCTTTTAATGACATTTATCTCGTTCATGACGAAAAATATATAAGCATTCCTATAATGCTATTCGTTCATATATGAGTACATTAGCAGCTAGGTTTAGTCACGAACTTTAGTAAAAGTGACTTCATATTTGACCGTATGTGTACGCTACATATATATACGTATGTTATTAATTCCACTCTCACAGTTATCAGAGAGTTTAAAGTTAATAATATTCACATGTGCACAATTTCCTTTGTATTTTTAAAGAAACATATTTACGTTAGTTTTAATTTTAAATTTTAGTGCAGTTTTATATGATTTTGTATATACTGTACATAGAAGCTATATTTATATTGGTAAAAAATTCACATTTTTAGGTTAAACGTATCTATGATACATCGATTGCTCCTAGTATTATATAAATCTCTGTCCGCTCAGTATATAATCATGTTAAAAAAGATATCTTTAATATAACAGTGATTCGAAATTTAAACACCTTTCGAAGGAAAAAAAATACGATAAAGATTGCGACGACAAAGGCTATCTCAAGACGAAGCTGAAGGAAGTTGATCATATATTATACAAACATATCTGAGTGTCTCGCAAAATAAATGTAATCAAATAAGTCTGACGTTTAAAAAAATGTAGTTTGGTTTAGTTTGTTGTATTTTACGGCATCTCAACCTTAGTAGGTTATTTAATGCCGACAAGAATTTTATTGTTGGTAATATTTTTTTTTTAAAAATGTATTGCTGCTAATATATTTTCATTAAAAATGTATTGCTGTTAATAATGTATTGCTGGCAATAATTATTTACAAAAATATATTGCTGGTAAAAAAATTTTCGTCAAAAGATGTAGCGAAAGGGTTTTAAACCAAGTTTGGTGCTTAACTATTTGCCCATAGATGGGGGCCTAACCAATGCTACCACCCCGGTTCAGAGAGGACCTGAGAAAACCAGAAATTAAAAAAAGTGGTTCCACGCTCTTCAAAGCCTCCTAATCAGTTGGACTTAGTTTATCGCCTTACTCAAGACGCAGATATAGTTTATCGTCATACCCAGGACGGAAGAAAACGCAATATTAAAGGTACGGATTAAATTAACAGTGGCCTGACCTCCATTTTTGTTGTTAATTCTGGATCTCCACTTCATTTAATCTTAATACATTCTTTCATTTTATTTGAATACTAAAACTCCATAACTATTTCTGTCATTTTGACCGGACGTGTACACTATTAGTAAAAAAAAAATCTTCGATAAAAGGTTTTGTTTCTGTTGTTGTGGTACGGTATTATTATTATTATTATTATTATTATTATTATTATTATTATTATTATTATTCCATCGTTCCTTCCTTCATAACTTCCTTAATTCCATAGCACGTACGATACGGATTAACATTACCTCAGTTAAAGTATTGGTAATTCCTGATTGACTGCGAAAATAGACTTTTAATAGCTTGCCTTTAACATCTGCTTGCACACGGGACAAAATATATATCTAAGTTTTGGTTGCTTTTAGGGAAAAAAGGAGAAATAAATAAACAAATAAATAAATGAGGGAAAATAGAAGAGATGATAAGATTCTAATGTTTTTAAAGTCTGCTTCACTGAAATGAGAAATTTTGTCAATCTTCTATCTTGCATTATTTATTGATATCCGCTTCATTAAATAATGACTCGCATTCATAATTATGCTAATTATTGGAATGTTTTCCTAAATTTGTTAATCTCAGATATTTAACGATGAAATAGTTGGATGTTCAACGAATATTGTATAGTCTTGGAAGTGGTTAGGAGCTTATTCAATAATTAATTTACGAAATAACATTCATCAGTAAATTCAAATAGAAAAACCGTGAAATGTTTAATGGTATTTTTAGTTATTATTATTATTATTATTATTATTATTATTATTATTATTATTACCGCCTTGTAATGAATTTGTTTTGAGACATTCGAAATTATTGTTGCTTTTACGGTTTGATTTGTTACTATAGAGCTGATGTGGGAGTCGGCGTAGATATGCCGGCGCCAATTCTGTTTGGGTGTAGGTGTACGTCTGTTTGTATTGAGAATGCGCATTGTTGTGAGCATGTGTGTGTACATTGTACACGCCTGCTTATGAAGCTTTACATGTGTACATGAATAGATCTATACGTGGGCGATATTTTGACTATTGCTTTGCAACACTCCTCTTTCTTTCCACATAATATCCTAAATGGATCTTGGTATAACCAATCGATACGATTTCGTATTCTGCCCATTAAAAATAAATATCCACTGCGTGTGGGTCTGATCCAACATGATGACGGTGATGCCGGCCTGGGACGCTGTTCCGGAACAGACGCTTGTTTACGCCATCGTTCTGTCTCTCACTGATCTGTTTGTCTTTCTTTTAAATTCCTTCTTTTACGCCATCACCCACCATCACTTTTCTCTCGTTCTAAATCCCTCAGTAATTATTGTTGTTCATTTCTCTTCCTCTTTTTAACAGTTTTTCGCTTTCTTTATATTTTTTTTTGCTCTCTAGTCTTCCACTCTCGTTCTCTTTCTTTATTGTTTTCTCTTTTCTAATTTTATATTTCTATTTTTCTCTTTCCTTTTATTCGTCGTCTTTTATACTTGTCGATTTTCTTCTCTATCCTTGTATTATTCTCATCGTTATTACTATGAATGCGTGTCTTTTAATTAATCTTGTGTCTCTCATTTTTAGCTGCTCTTTTCTCTATCACTCTTTCTGTCACTTTTTCTGCTTACTATATTCCGTTCTTTCTTTTCTTTTTCTATTTCTTGTCTTTTCTACTATATATTTATTCTTCTTTACTTGCATTTCTCTCATTATATATTTATTCCTTTCTCTCAGTTCTTTATTTTACTTTAAATAGATGTCTACTTTTTTTCACTCTTCTTTTTTGCAATATCTCTATTCTCTTCTCTCTCTCTCTCTCTCTCTCTCTCTCTCTCTCTCTCTCTCTCTCCACTTATATAATTTTATTTCTTGGTTTTCTCTTTCTTTCTTTACATTTTAATTTTCCTTTTTCTCTTTGTTTCTATATTCATCTTTTACTATCTGTTTCCCTCTCACACTCACTAACAGAATCACTCACTCCCTCACTCACTGAATCACTACATTTTACTCTCCGCATTTCCTCTGCGTCCATTATTCTTCTCTATTTGTCCCCTATTTTCTATTTCTTTATTTTCTCTTTCTTCATTGATAGTCTCTCATCTTTCCCCAGTTTTTCTATATTCAGCTTCTACTCTCTATTACTTTCTCTCACACACTCACGTACTCACTCTCACTCACTCACTCACTCACTCACTCACTCACTCAATCACTCACTCACTCACTCACTCACTCACTCACTTTAGTTTTCTTTCCTCATTTCTTCATCTCTCCGTGCGTTTCACTTCTTTTTTTTTCCACTCTACTTTATATTTCTTGATTTTCTTCTTTTCTTTTTTTTTTATTTTTGCTTTTACATTCATCTTCCAATTTTTCTTTTTTCATTTCCTCTTTGTTAATTTCTATTCTCTATTTTCCTCCCCGTCTCTGTGTTTCCCTCTTCTTCATTCATTCTCACGGAATATCTCTCCTTTACTTTCTCTACTCCATTTATGTTTCTCCTTCTATTCTCTTATTCCTCCCGATGTGTTCATATACCTCTACATCAATCACTCACTTTCTCATCCATTATTCATTGTCACGCACGGGTCCACCAATGTAGAAATGTCAACGGCGATTGTGGAGGACAGAACCGGGTCGAAATGGATTCATAAGAAGAACAGCCGCAGTCGAGACTTAAGCTGGATAGTTTTTCGGGCCGCACCCTATTTATAATCATTCTGTAGCCAGCAAGGATATTCCTGCGATCCTTCGTAGGATATCGCTAAAATGTCCCCATCCATACCAATCACACTCATAGTCATTCTAGTTTGTCTTCTCAAGCCAATCTTCTTTCTTTTTCGTTCCAGTCCTGTGGAGTTTTCCAATAATGTTTCAGCCATTTTAAATAGTGGCGTGGACAATGCATTGTGGGTTAATTGGGTGGCTTAAATGATAGCGTCATGCTCAGACGAACAAAGACGACATCTATTGTCGTCCATTTTCAATGGTCCTGAGGCGTGAGCGATCACTTTCCAAGCGTTGTTATCACGACTCTTTCTGATTTTACAATCAGAGTATATTTCAGGAAAAGTGAAAGAATATATAATTAACGATACATATACAGTTTTCATTATAAACCAAATCAACTTTATTAAAAACGTAATATTTTGTCATGTGACTTCGTTTCTTAATATGTTTTCCGGCGGATAGAAAAGAAACGTGATTCTTTTTAAGATCACGCATTGTTAAGTGAATATATCGTTTAAATATTCAAAAATGAAATACACATATTAAATTTAGAAGAATGAAAAAGAACAAAATGATATAATATAATGTAGAGAAAAATAATCTTATGGAAACGATAAAGAGTTTAATGGATTAAAGATTTGGTATGTAAATTTGGTTACAGTAATGTTGAATCCAATCTCTGGGCCGGGAAATGTGTAATTGTAACCCCTGGAAACAGAGCGAACAATATCTGATCAGTCCTAAAACTCTCAACTACAGTGTTGCCCACAAGAAAACCGGGAGATTTGGTATAGTTTATTTAACTTTTGCAACATTTGCTACAGTTATTTGAAACCAAAAGTAATGGAGGGAATACCTTAAAACAGAACAAAATCACAAATATTGATGCAGTGTTCAAACTAATTAACATATAACAAACAAATGATTAAAAATGTATATGTTCGTTCATTGTTTTAGTTTATTCACAAAGCAAAATATATAGTTCTTTTTTATGTAAGTTTATTATTTTTATCATATAGTAAATTCCTCTCTCTGTATGTGTACATATATATATATATATATATATATATATATATATATATATATATATATATATATATATATATATATATACGGAAGTAATCCTAAGGAGTCAGGCAATAAACGGATCATACAGGGTAAAACTGGCTTTACCTGATGATCCGTTTGGGTGAAACCTAGGGAGGTTTGCCTAGAGCAAAAACAAAATTAATCCTTTTTTACTTTTTCCTCTACTTAGTGTATTGAGCACTTTACGGTTAGTTTTTTACTTGGCTTGTGTTTTTTGTCTTCTTTGGACTTGGTGTTCAAGCACTTGGCGAGAGGATTCGTACAGTGTTACATTCTTGGTTCTTTCTTTTTTGTTCCTCGGACATCAATTTGTTATATTACACGTTTAGACAGTGGAGGTTTTCAAAACGAGGATTATCATTCATATATATATATATATATATATTAGTTTTTTTTAGTGGTAATTTTGTTATAGGGAATATATGAGGAATTTGTTTCTTGTTTATATTTGTGTTGCTGTGCTGCTTAGGAGTTTGACTTTTAGTGAAATATTTTTATGGTTTCCACTAGTGTGACACTTTAGTAAGTAATTCAGGTATTATACACAAATTATAGGTGTTTCTTGTGTATTGGTGGTTTTTAATTGTGATCTTTATTATTGTAATAAATTTTCGGTGTAGATATATATCTATCATTTTATATCTATCTTTTTTTCTATGTCTTGAAGTTTGCTTGTTTTGGAAAGTGCAAGTCGATGAATTGATAATTAATATCTGTACTATAAAATATTGTACAGTGAACTGACATATTTACTTTCTCTTTTCTGATTTCTTTCTTGTTCTTTATTTCTATTTTTTTTTATTTTAAATATCTACCGATTTTGAAATATCTACTGATTTTGTGTTATTTCATACGCGATTAGGCTTCGGTGAAAATATTTTGTTAGAAAGGTTTTCAGATAAGCAGGTGATTGCTGGCGATTGATAATGGAAATTGTTTTATTATGATTGGATGACTGGATGAATTGGTTAGGTAGACTAAATGAGTTGTTGTTTTGTTTAGTGATATATTGATATATACTATGGCTCCGTTTTCATTTCAATTTCACCTTATATTTCCCATATTTGGCTGAATCGCGATTTTTATTTTGTTTTGTAGATTCTTAGGATGAGATATATTAGATATGAGATATTTAACCTTTGACTAAAAAGCATTCCATAACCTAAATGTAATGTTTTATATCAAGTAAAATATATTTGAACTGAGAAAAATATAAATACAGATAAATAAAAAAATATATATATTTGTTATAAAATGTCTTCAAATCCTCACTAAAGTCATCACATTCTTTTCACTCGTAATATCCAATTGCGCCATAGTGGTATTATCGCCTTGCATGGGCTATAAGGATTATAAAGAAAGAATACAATTCAATAAATACAAAATGTTAGTGTATACACACACACACACACACACACATATAATATATATATATATATATATATATATATATATATATATATATATATATATATTTTATATTATAAATATTATATATATTTATATATAAAATAAATTAATACATATAACAAAATAAAAAAAATAGAAATAAAACACCAACAACCACTTTTAGTTCAAGCTACCACCACTACCTACCACCACTATAAATACATTCATGGTTTTATCATTCTCCCACCACCGTTACAAATCATTTCTAGCAATTTACAATTTCTACCAATTTACAATAACTATTAGCTAACTATCATTGTCTCCAATCCCTTGAAATATTACTATCACATCATATCATATAGACCCGTTATTAAATTGAACTACCCTCTCACCCAGCACATTGAATATTAAACATCACCATATAAATTAACCAATAAGGATTACAAATTTCTACCTGTTACATATACACAGTCACCAAAAACAAACAAATAACCAGCTTTAAACATAACAATTAAACCCCCATTTTTTTTTCAAAAATTTAAAATAAATATAAATAATAATAATTTTTACCTATCATAATTTTACACAAACCCCACCACACGTATATACATACATGCGAGGAAATATTTTTCAGTGGAAAAATACATTAGATGACATGTATACATTCACGAGACATTAACGAGACATTTCCGCCACACTTCCAATGTTTAAATTTCAACATTTCAACATACAAATGCGTATGTATAGACATAACACCATATACATACATATGTCATAGCCGAAACAGCCCACATATGTTTATATATGTATGAGTCCCGACGGACAACGAAGTATGTATATGTGTCTGCATACATCGATGTTTGCGTTCGTACGATGAATGACAAAACGACGAAGTTTCCCCCACCACTTCCACAATAACACCAGTGCACGCAATCTACATAAACCCAATTTTTTTAAAACATTAATCAGTTTGTCTGACGCTCGCTAAAGCGTGGAATCCAGGGTCACAAACTCACATCTATCCAACCAAATATGTTAGCTCTATCTCTGATATTGAGCGCTTTCTATAAGTACCGCGCATATAATATATAAATAATTATACACATATATATATATTTATTTATATTTATATACACTTTTCACACACACACACACACACACACATATATATATATATATATATATATATATATATATATATATATATATATATATATATATATGAAGAAAAATATATACGGAAAAAAAACAAAATCCTTATATACAATTATGCTGTTTTAATGTTAATATGTCAACGTCGGACGTTTCGGTCTAATAAACCATCTTTCAGGACATATTCATAAATTCCGACGTTGACATATTAACATTAAAACGGCATAATTGTATATAAGGATTTTTGTTCGTTTTTTCCGTATATATTTTTCTTCATACTGTCGGATCTATATCCATATTTGTATATATATATATATATATATATATATATATATATATATATATATATATATATATATATATATATATATATATATATATATATATATAATAAAAATGAAAACAAAATACTAAAGAACTTCGGATTAACTAACGTGCTCTTTCCTATTTTTCTATATATTTGTACAAGTCTTAAAATAATTGTCTCTTGTATGAGAGAAAATTATGGATAATTGTAGTTTAGAAAAAGTAAAATCGACCTGTCTAATCAAAGCGCTCCACTGTGGCTCAAGCGGTAAAAGCACGCTAGACTATATGACGGTTCTGTATAGGATGCAGGTTCCATTCCTGTCGGAGGAGGCAAATTTTCTACGAAAATTTCTCGGACTTTCAGGCCTGTAAATGTTGTTAATACAGTTTATTATAAACAGATCATTTACTTAAATATTTGTATCTATATATAGAAAGTATAAAGGCATTGTTTTATGTTTATACTTTCTACGGATATATAAATTCCTTATTTATTGCTTGGCCAGTCGAAGTTTTCAGAGAAGCTTATATGCAATTTTAATTATTTCATTTTATTATAGAAGCAATACTTATCCTAATTAGTATGTTTAATTAAATCATTAGGTATCTTATATAATATAAATTAAGTTCACAACTGATATTTGGTGGTTATCCCTAGAGATAGAGGGTAATCAAATGTTCTCCATCCTCCATTACGTTGTTGGTATCCACACATATCTAGCAGCATCCTTAAGTATTCTTCGATGTTCTAATTCATCCAATCTTAATGCTAGATATTTGGGCTTAGGTCCAGATCTATTAACAATTATGAGGACGATATTAAACATGCTAGATTTTTCTTAGATCTCGATGACGTCCATCGATATTTCAGATTATCTGCTACTTTGCTTTTCTGTCGCATCAGATTTGAGGCTAACAGACCCTAATCCAAGATGTAGCAGAATTACTTTTATGGTCAATGGGATAAGATCCCGTTTCATAGCTTGAATATTTTAGACGCTCTTCGAAATACATGTCTAAAAATATTTTATTTCTCCTGACTAGAT